CCCCCCACCCTCTCCTTCCCCAGCCTCTCCTCCCTTCGTCCCTTGTGGCTCCTGTTTTGTGAATGGATTGGGAGGCGGGCGACGGTGAGGGGCACGAGGCTGGCTGGAGTCTCTCCCTGCCCCAGGCCCGCCCAGGGGTTCGCACCTGTCCAGGCACCAAGATGCTCGGCGCCCGGGTTTCTGCGGGTCAGCCGGGCCACGGCCGCACGTACTCGCGGCCTGGGCTCCCCTTCCCTTGCGGGCTCGGAGGGGCCGGGAGGGTGGCCGGGCGCAAAGGAAAGAGCCCCTACCCCGCGCGCAAGTTTCCACCCCGACGCGTGTGGGCCCCGCAGCAGGGCGCACCTGTCAGCTGGAGAGGCTGCAGACCGGGCAGCCCCGCAAAGTGTCGGGAGTAGATTGGTGGCGTGCATCCTCGTCTGGGTTTTTTCTTTCCCTCATCTCTGGGGGTGGGGGGAGGGTTTAGGGAGCGCCCCCAACCTCTTGCCCTTGAAGCCGGGTGCGCTTTAGCCTACTGGGGCCGAGCTCTCGTTGATCCCTTCCGAGCGAAGGGTATGGGGGGCAAGAGGCTCCCTCCACCGGCTTGGGGGTGACACGGCCCCCTGTCTGGGCAGGGCCACCTGAGGAGAGCCCCGCACCAGCGCCTGATTGCACGTGGGGTCTCCAGCTGCGGGACCTTCTTGGGTCCTGTGTGGCTTACGGGTGCCGAGGTAATGTCTCCACTTCCTGAGCAGGGGAGGAGGGTGTCCCGCCTGGGAAAGGAGGGGGCCGGCGACACCGGGGACGCCGTCTTTGTCTGCAGGCACACTTTGCCAAGGTAGCTGGGGCCCCCGAGGAGATGAGTGAGGCCTGAGTCGACTGATTCCTTGGGTTTTCCGTTCCTTCCAGGCTGGGTCGTGGGAAACCCGCACGTGGGTGTGGCCGGCACCGCCTTCGCCAGAAGGCGAGGCTCTGGCGTGGGCGAGAAGCCTGGCCAGTGTCTTCCCGGCTGCGTTAACCTGGTGGGCACCGCCTCCGGCACTGCACCGAGGCGGGGCGCCAGCGCCCGGCAGGCCGCTGGGTTGGCCTCGGCGCCCCCTGCCCTTTCCCAGAGCGCAGGCGGGCAGTAGTGCCCGCAGCGCCCCCATGGCATGCGAGCTCTAGAGGGGGGCGGGGGCGCTCCTGGGCGGTGGATGCAGGGCCTAGGGACCCCTGGGCCGCAAGCGCGTGCGACGGCCGCGGGCTGGGGGGGCGGGGGAGAGAAGGAAGGACGGGAGTCCTGCAGAGGAAGTACGCGGCAGGCTCCCCGGGATGGCGGGGCAGAGCGCCCGGAGGCCGCGCTTCCCGGAGAGGCGAGGCTGCCAACAGTACTTTCCGGACCGAAGCTGCTGGAATGCTGAGGCCTGAGTCTCCGGCTGATTGAGGCACTAACTGCGTGTTCCTCACCCCTCCTATGTGAGAGGTGGCAGGGGAACAGACCCCCGGCAAGAAAGTGTGTTTGTGTTGAGGTGGGGGTCGGGAGTTGGGTTTAGTGAGACGTAGACTTGGAGCAAGCTTGGAAGTGAGACCTCATTGTCTGCAAAGGGTGGGTGGTGGTGGTGGTGGAGGAAACAGGATTCTCCAGATCAGGCAGGTGGCAAGGAGGGGAGATGGGGAGGAGGCCTCAGAATGGAGGGCAGGGAGCTGGCCTCATCAGCCTTCTCCCATCCCCATCCACCTCCCCACTTGGGTAATCTTTCAGGGCTACTAATCAGTAAAATGATTTACCTGAGACCTATGGAGCAAGAAACCACTGGAATCCCTCCTGAGGGGGATGCTAAGTCCCAGAGAATTTGGGCAAGGTCAGGCAGCCAGGAGGTAGTAGAGCTGTCTCAAGCACAAGACTTCTGGTTCCCAGTGCTGGGTTCTTTTCATTAAAAAACCTATTTCCAATTGGGCAGATGCTAGAAGCCCTGACTTGGTTGCAAACAAAACCTGGCAGCATTTCCAGGAGTGGTGGGGCAGGGGGACGTGGACAGAGATTCTATGTGGGCGCTAGGACCAAGTAGATGGGGCTTCCCAGGCAGCCACCCCTCCCGGGCTGCTGCAGTGGTGGCTGCAGTTCCCTCTGGTGCCCCAGTGCTAGGCTTCCAGGAGGGCCGTCCACACCCCAGCGCTCATTTCCTCTTCTCTACCTTGTCTGCTTTTCCTGACTGCTTTCCCTTTCTTTCCTGCCTCTCAAATCAATGAGAAAAAGGGGAGAAAGCAGAGAACATAGGGAAAGTTTCTCTTACCAATTTAGCTGTTTTGAGAAAGGGAAGCTGTTTCCTTTTTTCCTCTGGCACCTCTTTGTTTCCTATCTTTTCCTTCCCCACTTTCTTCATGGGCCTCATTGGTGTAATCCCCTAGTGGGAATAGGCCAGGTAGAGGCTGCCTACCTGCCCCTGCCCGCCCCCCTCCTCCTTCTTCCTGGCCCCTCAGGTGCTCAGAGCTTCCTCTGGCCTCAGGCTCACCCCTACTGAAGCTTGCCTATGAGAGCTTTGGGTCAGGCAGATCCCAGTTCTGCCACCAGCTAGGGATCACACAGCTCTCTCTGGCTTTGGTTTGTCTAACAATAATAAATGCTACTTTAAGTGCTTTACAATATGTAACCCATTTAATCCTTAAAGATGCTAGGAAGTTAGTGCTGCAACCCACATTTTACAGATGAATTAACTAAGGGGTAGAACACAGTCAACACAGATAGTGTGAGCTGGGATTTGAACCCCAGTAGTCTGGCTTCTGAGTCTACAGACAGTCTCAGTCATGCTCAATAAATAGTAATTGTTTTCATTAGTGGGTCATCTTCCTGGTTCTGGGCCAGGCCCAGAGAAAATGCCCCCACTGCCACTGACCAGGGATGCTGCCTCCGCCTGACCCACATCTCCCACCTTCTCCCACCAGATGCCGGTGCAGCTGACAACAGCCCTTCGTGTGGTGGGCACCAGCCTGTTTGCCCTGGCAGTGCTGGGTGGCATCCTGGCAGCTTATGTGACAGGCTACCAGTTCATCCACACAGAAAAACACTACCTGTCCTTCGGGCTGTATGGTGCCATCCTGGGTCTGCACCTGCTCATCCAGAGCCTGTTTGCCTTCCTGGAGCACCGGCGCATGCGGCGGGCAGGCCGGCCACTGAAGCTGCCCTCCCCACTGCGGCGCTCTGTGGCACTCTGCATCGCTGCATACCAGGAGGACCCCGACTACTTGCGCAAGTGCCTGCGCTCAGCCCAGCGCATCGCCTTCCCCGACCTCAAGGTGGTCATGGTGGTGGATGGCAATCGCCAGGAGGATGCCTACATGCTGGACATCTTCCATGAGGTGCTAGGTGGCACCGAGCAAGCCGGCTTCTTTGTGTGGCGCAGCAACTTCCATGAGGCGGGTGAGGGCGAGACGGAGGCCAGCCTTCAGGAGGGCATGGGCCGCGTGCGCAACGTGGTGCAGGCCAGCACCTTCTCATGCATCATGCAGAAGTGGGGAGGCAAGCGAGAGGTCATGTACACGGCCTTCAAGGCCCTTGGTGATTCAGTGGACTACATCCAGGTAAGCGTGCCTCCCTAGGTGTATGTGGACAGGTGGATGTGTCCAGCCAGGCAGGCATACTCTCCTGGGGACTTCTAGGTCCAGTCTAGGTCCTCTGTGTTGTGCACATTCCTCCTCTGCACTTAAGAAGGCAGTAGGCACCATGGTTCTCAGCAGCAGTCCTGGGGTTAAAAAGACCTGGGAGGGAATCCTGGTTCTGCTGTTACTTAGCTCTGTGACTCTGGGCAAGTCTATGGATTGGTATCCCAATAATAGCAAACAAGTGTAAAGTGTATAGCATTTACTTTATACCAGACACTGTTGTAGGCACTTCATACATTTTAGTTCTTTTAATCCTCGTAATACTCCTAGGAGATAGGTACTATTATCATTTCCACTTACAGAAACTGAGCCTGAAGCACAGAGAGACTAAGTAACTTGCCTAGTGTCACATGGCAGTAAGGTGCAGAACCAGGATTTGAGCCCTGGCAGTCTGTCCTTGTCCACTGTGCAATACTGCCTCAATACTGGCAACATGGGGATGAGCCTCTTCATAAAGAAGTGTGGGGAAGAGCAAAAAAAAAAATCATGCTGCCAAGCACTCAAATAGTTTTAGTTATGGGCTAAAAAGTCCAACTCTTTCTGGTGTCAAGTTCTTATCTGTGAGGTGGAGGGACACGTGCGATTCATCCCCCACCCCGATTCTGCAGCCGTCTTGGCAGGGCCAGGACCCTGAACAGACCCTGCCTAGCTTCCAGCCAAAGCAGGCATTGACACCAGCCTGGAAATTTTATTATGCTGACAAGGTTAACATTGCTCCAATTTTCTTTTTCTTTTCCTTTTTTAAATTAATTTTATTTTTGGCTATGTTGGGTCTTCATTGTGGTGCACGGGCTTCTCATTGTGGTGGCTTCTCTTGTTGAGGAGCGTGGGCTCTAGGTGCACGGACTTCAGTAGTTGTGGTACTCAGGCAGTAGTTGTGGCTAGCGGGCTCTAGAGCGCAGGCTCAGTAGTTGTGGCGCATGGGCTTAGCTGCTCCGCGGCATGTGGGATCTTCCCGGACCAGGGCTCGAACCCACGTTCCCTGCATTGGCAGGTGGACTCTTAACCACTGCACCACCAGGGAAGTCCCCTGCTCCAATTTTCAAATAACAGAACCTAGAGAAAACTGATGAAAGGTCATGCATTTCAGTACCAAGTAGAAACTGACACCCAGGACCCCAGATTTCTGGTTCAGCATCTACCGTCCACTCCTCTGTTCCTGCCCTTCTCTGTTGCTTGAATGGATAGTGGCTGCTGCGGTAGCCCAGCTACGTGCCAGCAGTCTTGCTGACAGCATGTTGCATACTCCAATATTCAAATTTTCTTTACTGTACCCACCTAAAATTAGCTTGCCACAGATTTTTTGTTTTTGGCTGTTGAGAAAGTTGCAATGAGAGTTGGCATATTTGTCTTTTTCTGTCTTCTTAGGCCCAAGGACCTCCTCAGCCTTGGAGAGGGAGGGATGTGAGACAATTCTTGATTCTGCAGTTCACCTAGGGTCAAGGGGCCTTTGAGACTTGCCTGGGGACTCAGAATAGAGAAATCCCTTGAGCCCTCCTGGCACGTGCTCAAGCCGTCATGACTCTATCATCTACTCCCTTGAAGCACAGGATCCCCCCAAACCTGCTCTACCACACCTCTTCCTTTCCTCTGTGCTCTGGTGGATCAGCAGATAGGCTCATGCACCTGAGCCAGCCTTTCTCTTGACGGCTCTGGGCTCACTGCTTGGGGCAGCCCTGGGCGCCAGTCATTGAACACTCTGGGTTTCTGCCTGTCTTCATGAGCCCTGCTGAAGGTGTCTTTCCCTCTTCGGGAGATAACCCTGCTCCAGCCAGTGGGGAAACTCAGGCAGCCACGAGCTCTAACTTTCCTAACCTTGCTCAGCTGGGAAGACCTCCCTGGGGTGAGGGAAGCCAAGCAGCGTGAGGAATGAGACAGGGTCATGGCAGGAAGTAGTCTTGAGACCAGCAGCCCTGGGAATCTTGGCCTGTAAGCTGAGGGGGCTCTGGGAGTCTGGCCTGAGGCTCCCTGGGGCCTTCCCAGTCTGGGCCAGGATTGTAAGGATGTGTCATTGTGTAGGTAGGAGGGGAGTGGCTGTGATGACTCTGCCTGGTTCCCCCTCTGCCTTCTGCCGCTTGTCTATGGCCACTGAGTCTTCCAACGTGGAGAGAGAAAGCATAGGGTTGGAGTGTGGAGGGCAGCCCCCTTCCTGAAGGCTAATGGGCTCTCAGCAACTTTAGTAAAAGGATTTTAGGCTTTTGCAGAACAGGGTTTGGGCTTATCTGTGGATACTGTTCTTTGCTCTGTCAGGGGTCAGGAAACCAATTCCTCTACTCTGGTTATCTGGGCTTTTTGTATCATCTCAATTTTCTAGAAAACAGAGAAGGAGTCAGCCACCAGAGTAAGGGTTCATAGCCCAGGTTCAACTAATAACAGGCCACTGTTAGAAATAAACCAGGAGTCTCCCTAGGAAAGGCGGGCAGGTGGGCAGGATTTGATCCAGGTCCTGATTGGAGGTAGCTGGTGCCAGCTTCCAGGCCCATCCAGAGTAAAATCTACATGAGAGCAGCCCTTGGCCATGCCGGGCCCTAATCTGGGAGACTTGGCCAACAGAACACAGAAGGCCTGGCAGCCTCATTAGAGGTCCTGTGACTGGGCTAAATACACCCTCCACTCAGGCTGGTTGTCTAAGAGTCCAGAGGCTGAAACAGGGAAGACCCTGTTCTTAATAATCCTATGAGCAAGCTTTGTGCAGTAGCCTCTGGCAGGAGCCATTTCTTGGCCTTCTGAGAAATGTCTGCTGGCCCTGGTCTAGCCACAATGCTTGTCATCTGATTTCAATGACATTTTGAAGAGAAATACTATTTTGAAGAGAAATAATATTTTGAGAAATATTTTAAGACCACTTCTGAGGAGCCTGGCTCTGTAAGGGGCTAAAGATTTCTCCAGTGCTAAGCACTTCTCCCTTTCTGGGCCCAGCACTGAAAGTCTCCTGGAGATCTCTCTCTTGGTCTAGTGGCTATCAAGACTGGTACCTGAACTCGTTTTCTTACTTTCCTTTGTTATTCATTTCACCCCTTCTATTTGGCATAGATTTCTCTGCTAGTGGCTTGAAGTGTATCATGTGAAAGGGGTGTGTGTGTGTGTGTGTGTGTGTGTGTGTGTGTGTGTGTGTGTGTGTGTG